GTGAAAGACCAGACCTAAATCCAGAATCTGTGGCAAGACTTAAAAATAGCTGTTCAAAGATGCTCTCCATCCAATCTGACAGAGTTTGAGATGTTTTGCACAAAAGAATGAGCAAAAATTTCACTCTCTAGATGTGCAAATCTGGAAGAGACATCCCCAAAAAGACTTGCAGCTGTAATTGCAAAAGGTGATTCTACAAAGTATTGACTCTGGCTCGCCTTTTGGCTGAATACAAATGCACACCACACTTTTCAGATATTTATTTGTAAAAAAAAATTGAAAACCATTTATCATTTTCCTTCCAGTTCACAATTATGTGCCTTAGTGTTGGTCAATCCCATAAAATTCCAATAAAACACATTTACATTTTTGGTTGTAACATGACAGACTGTGGAAAATTTCAAGGAAAATTGGAAATTATTATATATATATAATATATATATATATATATATATATATATATATATATATATATATATACATACAGTTGTGTTCAAAATAATAGCAGTCAGACATCACTAACCTGATCAATCACTGTGTTTGGTAGAAATTATATTTCTACATGGCAAACAATTTACTAGCAGGTGTAGTAGAGTAATAGAAATCCAACAGACCCAACAGTCATGACATGCATGCTGCTGATTCTGTGTAATTGAATCACTAATTGAAAGGGGCATGTTCAAAATAATATCAGTGTGAAGTTCTATTCTTTTTAAAACAGGTGGCAATTATTGCCCTTATTTAAGGAAGGAAGGCAGCAAATGTTATACATGCTGGTTAAAGTGCATTTCTCTCTGAAATTCTGAGGAAAATGGGTCGTTCCAGACATTGTTCAGAAGAACAGCGTACCTTGATTAAAAAAGTTGATTGGAGAGGGGAAAACATAAAGAAGTGCAGAAAATGATAGGCTACCCAGCTAAAATGCTTTAAAATAGCAACCAAAACCTGAAAGACGTGGAAGAAAGCGAAAAACTACCATTCGAATGGATAGAAGAATAGCCAAAATGGCAAGGACTCAGCCAACAATCAGCTCCAGGAAGATCAAAAAAGGTCTAAAGTTACCTGTGAGTACTGTTACAATTAGAAGACGCCTATGTGAAGCCAAGCTATCTGCAAGAAGCCCCTGCAAAGTCCCACTGTTGAAAAAAAGACATGTGCTGAAGAGGTTACAATTTGCCAAAGAACACATTGACTGGCCTAAAGAGAAATGGCACAACATTTTGTGGACTGATGAAAGTAAGATTGTTCTTTTTGGGTCTAGTGGCCGGAGACAGTTTGTCAGACGACCCCCAAACACTGAATTCAAGCCACAGTACACTGTGAAGACAGTGAAGCATGGTTGGGCAAGCATCATGATATGGGGATGTTTCTCATACTACGGTGTTTGTGCCTATTTATCGCATACCAGGGATCATGGATCAGTTTGAATACATCAGAATACTTGAAGAGGTCATGTTGCCTTATGCTGAAGAGGAAATGCCCTTGAAATGGGTGTTCCAACAAGACAACGACCCCAAACACACCAGTAAACGTGCAACATCTTGGTTCCAGACCAACAAGATTGACGTTATGGAGTGGCCGGCCCAATCCCCAGATCTTAATCCAATAGAAAACTTGTGGGGTGACATCAAAAATGCAGTTTCTGAGGCAAAACCAAGAAATAGAGAAGAACTGTGGAATGTAGTCCAATCAACCTGGGCTGGAATGCCTGTTCACAGGTGACAGAAGTTGGTTGACTCCATGCAACACAGATGTACAGCAGTTCTCAGAAACAGTGGTTATACAACTAAATATTAATTAAGTGATTCAAAGGAAAGCAAAATCTTCAAACATTTTTCAGTTTATATAGTGAATGTTTGAGTTTGTAAAGAAGAATACAAACACTGCTATTTTTTGAACAGTCTAATATTCACTTTTCTTCAATTTTTTTTTAGAGGAACAACACAAATTTGATATATTTTTCTTCATGTTTTGATTTGGAATAGAATGTTTAGTGTTCCGAATGCATTTGTATGTATGGAAATAAAAGTTATTAGAAGGATTTTAGCTTTATTCACTTTTTCCAACACACTGCTATTATTTTGAACATAACTGTATTAATCCCATTCTGATGAGCCAACAACCCTGGCCCCTGTGGTTTTAGATGTCTGCGAGGGTCTTATCAGAATCTGGGGACCTCCTTTAACAATAAGATACTGGCCCTCATGTGAATGAGTATTGAGTATATTGTACATGCATACAATGTACTTCCATTGTCAATCACATGCCCAAAGATGTTGATCAATGTCAATCATGATGAACAACACCTGCCAAAAGAGAAAATTCCATCATTCAGTGGAAGTATCTAATCTCGTTATTTACTAGTGTCAAATAACATCTCCCAGGGCCCAGCCACTAAAAGTAGAGGAGGAGGGAAAAAATACTGCATATTTTGAGGCCAAAGCAAAGGTGTATTAGCAGCCATTCAAAAAGTGGCTGCTATGTCCCCTTGAAGAGGAGGAGAACAAAAAGGGCTTACAAAAGGGTGCTAAATAATTACTGCTGTGCACCCTTGAGGAGGAGGAGAAGAAGAAGGGGTAGAAACTTTCCACTAGACTATATGAAAGGAGTTGCAGCACAACAAACTTGACCAAATGAAATATGGCTGCTTACCTTATGGGTCTTGCTTTTCCATATGGGCTGAACAAGACAAATCTATTTCTTTATCCAGCTGAAACAATGTGGATTGAGGAATCTGTACTACCAGCTATTATATTCTGACAGCTGGTACCTGCTGTTGTCAGAAAACCCAAATAATGGCTGCATCTGACTGGATGCAGCTTTTGCCCAGCTCCTTCAACTTTTAGGTCAAAGGATTTCAGGCAGGAAGATAAATACAAACATGTTACTACTTTGTAACTGCTACAAAATATGATTTACCACAGCATAGTTTACCAAAAATAGTCTGAATAATATATGACTACAAGAAATATGCTGTATTTTTTAGGGTGAGAATAATAAAAGCTGCTAAAGCTGACTTTTTTGAAAACTACAACATGCAGTTTAGATGTATTCCATTATGCCTCCATTGACTGGGAAAAGACTCAATGACTTTTGGATGGCATGTCCACACTATATTTTTTTTTTGTGCCTGCCTCTTCCAGCTGGGTAGTAGTGTTTGAATCTGTATCTGTCTGGTATTTGTCATTTTGTATGTTCAATTTACATGCTTATACTGTATATGCTTGTATTTCTAGGCATCTACATTTTTGTTTTTATTCTGTGCTCATATCAGCTTGTTGTCCAGTGGCTTTGTGCTTTGTGGCGCCTAAAACATTGGTTGTTTAGTGTGCTGCAAATAGTGGAGTGCATTCAAGTTGCTACTTCCAGAATCAGAAAATGGCATCACTTCCTAGATCAATCTTTTCAAAGCTAACCCAACCTTTCTATTGCTTGCCCAGTATAAGAACTGCATACTAAGGATTAACCAAATACTCTCCACCACCAAGGAAGAAAATTATTAAATAAGTCAGTTTTTGTAAACCACAGTGTGCAGCGCTGTGGATAAGGGGGTACCACCAGTTGTCCTGTATTGAGCCCATGCCATCAGGGGATCCCAGGCAACTGGGAGAATCAGACATAGGCAAGAGAGGGTGATTGTCATGACGGGAGACATGGCACTTGCAAGCACACAATAGAATCCTTCAGTATGGAGAGCGGGGTAAGGGTCCAGTAAATATGTCACATTTACCAGCCCCTTCCTTTCCTGAATGAACAAAATGAGTGGTCAATACTGATCACTCACTGTGTTCATTCTTAGCTGAAGAATGGTAAACTGTGTTTTTTTTTTTGGGGGGGGGGGGGCTGTCAGATTGGCGGTATGGGGTCCCATGGTTTCTAATAGCAGCCCTGACAGTGTGTTCTGCACATGTCAAGGTTGTTACCAAAATACGTTTTGTACAGAAAAAGCCTGTCCTTGTAAATATTATGATAACGTGTAAATAAATCTTTAACAACAAAGCTCTCTTATTTTCTCTGTTTATTACACTTTTTGTGAGTGAGCAGGGTGTGTTACTGGCATGATCACCAATAAAATCTGAAAAAAATAACATGGATCCACCACATCTAGGGACTAGTAACTGCAACATACTGTATTAAATTTTTTATTTTGGGTTTGGATGCATTTTCAAAGCGTAATTCCTTTGTAATGTTTAAGCAGAACAAAGGCTTTAAGTGGCTAGAACTTTAGTTTTTGGTTCCAAACTGGTAAAGGTCACTTTTGCAACTAATCCTAGTAATCCAAACACAGCAGGAGATTAAACATAAACAAAGTCAGTTAATATTTTCCAGAAATGAAAGCCAGGCCTATCATGGAATTATGAGAGAACGGGGCAGCCTTCAAGTAAGAAGAACATCTTTAGACTAATGATGATATAGACCAGTGATGGCGAACCCGTGGCACGCCGAGCCTTATCTGTGGGCACGCCAGGAGAATACCGTATTTTTCGCTCCATAAGACGCACTTTTTTCCCCCCAAAAAAGGGGGGGGAAAATGTCAGTGCGTCTTATGGAGCGAATATAGAGCGGCCGGTCCGGTATTTCCACCGCCACCATGTCAGAATACCGGGCCGGCCGCTCAGCTCTGCAGTGGGACCGTACCTGTCCCTCTATCCAGCGGCGCGCTGTCTTCCCGGCTTCTGTAGTGTGCGTGACAGCCGGGTCCCAAGTGCGCATGCGCAAGAAGCAGTGCTCTTTGTGAATGGTAAGGCGGTACCTGGGACACATGACAGATCCCAGAAGCCGCCGGACCAATCACAAAGGCGCAGCGCTTCTCGCGCATGCGCACTGGGCATCCGGCTGTCCGACGAGCGCCCACACTACAGAAGCCGGGAAGACAGCGCGCGGCTGGATAAAGGAGCAGGTAAGATGAAAAAAAAAAACTCTGCGGAAGTAAGAGCGGGTACCTGTCAAATTCAGGTACCCGCTCCCCCTCCCTCCCCAAAGGTCAGCAGTCATCTGTACTGTCCGCAGTCTCTGGTCATCCCTGTGCTTTCCGCAGTCTCTGGTCATCTCCTGTACTGTCCGCAGTCTCTGGTCATCTCCTGTACTTTCCGCAGTCTCTGGTCATCTCCTGTACTGTGTCCGCAGTCTCTGGTCATTCCCTGTACTGTCCGCAGTCTCTGGTCATCCCTGTACTGTCCGCAGTCTCTGGTCATCCCTGTACTGTGTCCGCAGTCTCTGGTCATCCCTGTACTGTGTCCGCAGTCTCTGGTCATCCCTGTACTGTCCGCAGTCTCTGGTCATCTCCTGTACTGTCCGCAGTCTCTGGTCATCTCCTGTACTGTGTCCGCAGTCTCTGGTCATCTCCTGTACTGTGTCCGCAGTCTCTGGTCATCTCCTGTACTGTGTCCGCAGTCTCTGGTCATCCCCTGTACTGTGTCCGCAGTCTCTGGTCATCCCTGTACTGTCCGCAGTCTCTGGTCATCTCCTGTACTGTCCGCAGTCTCTGGTCATCCCTGTACTGTCCGCAGTCTCTGGTCATCTCCTGTACTGTCCGCAGTCTCTGGTCATCTCCTGTACTGTTCGCAGTCTCTGGTCATCTCCTGTACTGTGTCCGCAGTCTCTGGTCATCTCCTGTATAATTGAAAGCTCTGTTATTGTGTTTTTCTTTTAAGACAAAAGCTGTTAATTAGTTTGCACTACTGTACGAGTTGTTTTTTTCTAAACCAAAAGCTCGATATTCAGGTTTCATTGCAGTGTTGGCACTTTGAAAGAAATAAGTTGGTTTTGGGTTGCAGTTTGGGCACTCGGGCTCAAAAAGGTTCGCCATCACTGATATAGACCAAACAAAGTTCCCAAGTTGAACTGAACAATAAAGCTGTCCATTCTTGTAGATATGGTTACAGCAGTGATGAGTATTTTGGAATTGTTGACGTTTATTTTTGGAATACCATCAGAAAAGTATTTGACAAAGGAGTGTCTGACATTCATGCATTGCCTACTGTCACTGCAGGTAACAGTATCAATAAGTCATAAGCACTTTAAGTTGGTAAACTAGGTTATATCATTTTCCCAGTCTCATGGGATGGTACCCTGGTGCCCCCAGGACTAAAATGCTGATCATCTGATCTTAACGGGGGCCCTTACCTAGCAAGGCATGCTAAGAATTGTGGAGTAACCTAAGTGAGTGGCAAAAAGTGGGTGCCAAGTGTAGAGAGAGCCAAGAGTCTACCCATTGCTTGATCAGGGATGTTGGTAATAACACTTCCACGGTCAGGGCAGGAAGCATACAAGCAAGGTTAGGTAAAGCAAGTGATCAGATCCAAGGACTCCAGCAGGTCAGAAGTAGTAAATCAGCATTATTGGGAATGTCAGACATGGTAAGATAGCAGAGTTAGATAGACTGAGAACATACAGGGACTAGAAGTTGAAAAAAATAGAAAAAAAGAACCACGAATAGAAAGTCATACACATGTACACACACTGTACGAACAGTGACCTTAAAGTGTTACCAAACCCAGGACCCTACATTCACTATATCCAGTCTCCCAGAGTACACACAATATGGAAATGCAATTAGTTTGGTAAATATAAATTGCTAAATACCTTTTCTCATCAGTAGTTAGAGCATTCTTGTGACTTCTATCAGTGTCCAGCAGGACACTGGTTAAAGGGACATACTAAAAGGAATGACAGAATGGAATGCCCATAGACTTTAACAGGGCGGTGGAATGCCCATAGAGAATAATAGAACAGAAGGGAATACCCATAGAGAATAAAGGAGTCAGAACCATTGGACATATCACATAAATCCTTAGCAGACATACTCTCCAAGTTCAGTGGTGATGTTAAAAATTGAGATTAAATGGGATTATTATTGTTTTTTATGGAATAACAAAAGTGAATGGCAGAAAGGAATGTCAATGGAATATAATGGGAAGCAAAATATAAACTCATTTGCAGACAAATTTAAGAAACATAGCAATTTCACCTTTCCCATAGGTCTTCTCAAGTAGAATTTCAGATTGAAAGATTAAAATAATTTGAGATTATAGCTGTTTTCTGTGGAATGACAAAGGTAAATGACAAAAGAGAATGATCATAGGGTATAATGGGAACCAAGATACGACCTGGAGTCAGATCCTTTCAACATTCCAAATAAATCCTTAGCAGACATATTCTCCAAGTTCAGTTGTGATGTTGAAATTGAGATAAACCATTTTCCAACTGTCATTTCATCTACCTATGTGCCTACCACCACCACAGTATACCCTCCAACAACTGTCGCCACCTCCCACTGCTGTTGACACACATCCACCCCCCATGATCTTAGAACCTACTACCACCCCATATCCCACTGTCACCACCTACCACTGTGTCTGCCACCACAACCCCCAGCCCTGCTACAACTTCACCCACTATAATTCCATATCTACATTAAAGAAGACATCAGGTAAGTGTTTAACACCCTTCTTACTCCATTCTATGTTTGTGGGATGGAGATGTTTGTTCTATGTGTGTGGTGTCCTCCACAAATCCCATCATTGCTTTCAAAAATACATCTGCCATCACTTGAACACCACCATAACACCCTCCTCGTGCCACCATCCTATCACCCATTGCCTAACAATGTTTCTGTTACACTCCATACCCCTCTCAACCACCCTTCACTCTCACTGCCACACTACATGAAAATATCCATATGCATATTTACCCTTTCCCACCACTGCACCTGCCACCATTCTTTACAACCCTCTTTTTCCAGTGACTGCATCTCCCCAAATCCCTCCCCACACTCACAGCACTCACTACTGCAGATTCCACCACCTGATTTTTCTCCTTTCCCACTTTAACTAAAATGCTTGCTCACAACCTCTCACATTCAACCACACATCTTTCTTTGCAGTTGACAAATCTCTGGAATTTCACCTTCCTGCACACATATCTCCTGGGATCCCAACAGTTTTCAAAGACCTAACAGGTTACCTCCCTGAATACATCTCTCCTGGAAGCTCACATTCTTCTCTTCTGCTGCTTACTGACCTTATGTCCTGTGGTCACATTACAGAGATATGTCTTACCTATAACTGTGTCTTCGCTGTCTCCTGAATATCCTTGATGTTCTCCTGTGTGAGACCTATGGCAGAAGGGCCCAGGGGACTGGCAGTAGCTTTCACAACCCTCAGCTATGCCCTTGCTCACCCCACCCCACTCACATGCCTTTATTATCTGGCCACTGCTCTACTTACATTACATTTACACACCAAGCTCTGTGGCCACGTGAACCACCAGTATTAACCATCCCTGCTGGCATACCTCCATCCCCTGATCACCTCATCACTATTAACCCCAACTGCTCATAATTCTCAGCCTCCTTGACACCTCACCACCAAAAGTAAACCCTCTTCTCCTATGCATACTTCTCCATGCCTTACCCCCTCCAGTATATACTACCCATGGTCATATTCTACCTACTGCCTCTAGGAAATCCTTGCTATGCTCCTTTGTGAGATCCCTCTGCTCTCCATATCAGGAGAGCCTGGGGACCTGACATCAACCTCCTCAACCCTTAGCTGTGCCCACACACACATGCATGCAATTTGATCTTCCGACTACCCTCCCACTGATAATAACCTAGCCCCTCAAAACCCATTCTACTCACAAACCTCACTCCCTGGCCACCACACCTTACTCACTGTTGGGGCCCAGGGAAATTACAATTAATGTTATGGCAGGGCCAGCTATACTGCACTTTTGGAGGATCTGGCTGTGGCTGTGCCTTAGGTGGCTGCCAAATTTGCCTAGTGGTAGCACCAGCCCTAGGCTAGTCAGCTTGAAAATGGGTACAGATTTGGCAATTGCTGATTTAATTATCACTAGATAGCACTTATGTGTTTTTTTTGATTTTTTTTGCTATTAAAATTGTAATTTAGCCACCAAGCAATTGTATTGAAGAAAATAGTTTGAGGTTAAGAACTGAAAGAATCATCATTCTGTTTATTCACTGGTGTAAGCACATTATGCCAGATATGTTACTTTTTATTCAATGCTACAAAATAAAGAACTTATTATTTTGTAGATGGCAACAAGACTGATTTTGGACAAAATTGGGCCCTGGGGCAGAAAGCAAAGGAGGCCCCTCAATGTTCTGCCCCTGCATGCCAATCCATTTCAGTCCTTTAAATGCTTTTATGTCAGAACAATGTTTTTTGCTTTGATGCAAGAAGCTATTATAACGTACAATGTGATGTGTAAACAATGCTATAAAAGTTTGTAATCACTTAAATCCAAGTAAGTTGTAGCTTTTCAGTCCATAGAAGCGGTAGCTGTATTTATTTAAATTTACAGGCTTTTCCTTTATTTTAAATTACAGAAAATGTTAATGCTGGCTCCAATAGAAATGTGTCAGAACACAGTGCAATTCAGTTTGTAAGCAGGTAAATGTCAAATGTAAATTTTATGTTTTGTTGAAAATGTTCTACTGTTTCCCAGTTGATTTGTATGTGGTTAGATGTTTCCATTTTAGTGTAAGCATGTTGCACTGTTTAGTTTTGTTTGCTTTGCTGAGGTGGTACTCCCTTAACTGCTGGTCAAGTTTTCCTGGGGTTTTTGGGGAAATACCACCCTCTGCTCCAAGGAACAAGTATGCTGCTAAGGATATGATACACTATTTGCACTTACCAAGTCATGGTTCCAGGGGTATGGACTCATTCTTTGACTCAGGGACTCTAAAGGATTTATCAGACCTATCCAATGTATAGGTTTAAAACTTGGATGGACTCAGAGAAAACAATGACTTCATAAATCTATATTAGAACCGGTATTGAACTCTCCTCATGGAGTAAACAACTTGTTAATACTGGCATCACTGTGCTTGGGATGATGCATGTTTGCTGCTGTTTCAAAAGGAAAGCTGTTACTACATTATATTTGCTTATTGCCCTATTCATGGGAAGTAATCTTTAATAGTTCCGAATAGAGTTGGGCTGGATTTGGCAAACACACAAATGGTAAGGGTGTTTGGCGAGCTGTTCACCCGCTGCGCCCCACAATGCACTGCACCCTGACAGTGCATTGTGATTTGCCAAAGCAATGCACCTGACCATAGGTCAGGTGCAATGCTTTGGCCAATCACAGCACATGATGACACCACAAGTGGATGGGGCCACCCAGTGATGTCAACCGGGTGACTTTGCCCCTTGTGACGTCATGACAGTATTTAAGAACTGTCAGACTGGCTCAGCTGTCAGGCGGTGAGAGCTAGCATTGAGAGCAGAGTGTTTTTTTTGAGGGGTCTGCTGTGGCTGCTGGCATCGTGATTGACATTGGATCTACTTCAGAAGACTTTTTTTTATCTATTTTTTTTTAATAAAGGACTTGTCAAAGACTGTCTTCTGTCATTTTTTGCACTATACTTTTTTTTGTGAATGAGCAGCGGTACCATGTACCCCATACTCATTCATATTAGGGAGAGAGGGGGGCTGGGGTCTGGGGAATCTGATTCCAGATTCTGATAAGCCATGGTTGTGGGGAAGAGGCCCTTGTCCCCCCCCCATGTTGAGGGCATGTGGCATGGTATGGTTCAGGAGGGGGGGTGCTCGCTCGTCCCTCCCTTTCCTGACCTGCCTGCCTGCATG